ATTTCAACAATAAACTGGCTGTATTATCGATGATTGCCGTCCTTCGATTTTATTCGCAAACGGTAACGAAGAGACGTCGGTCTGACATTTTATTCAATGTTTTATAGAACGCGAATTACCCTTTCTCCGGTGCTAATGTCCTCGGAGAATGGCTACATTAATGGTTTTTAGCTTCGTTCGTGCGGAATTAACGAGAAGGTGACGGGGAAACTTCCTTCTACATTTTCTTTCAACGCCTCCATTCAGTCCGTTTCCTCGCCCTGGATCACGCTTCTTTAACGTTATTGTCCCCGCGGAATTTTTAATATTAATGTCCATCAACGCTGCCCTTTCGCCCGCCATGGTTACAGGGGCGATTCGAAACTGGCCGTGATTTAAAAGCTAACGCTCAAGACAAGGCTCGTGTCGCGCAAACTATGCATTCAGGCCGAATTTGAATTTAAGATCGCTTTTAAGCTCTTTGTGAAACCGACCCTTATTTTCGCCCGTCGCGAGGAAATGGCTGAAAACCCGTTTGACGATCCTCTTTAACGTCATATTCGAACCTGTATTTTCCACTGATTGCTCTTTTTCACTGGGAAGTGCCTCTTTTTTCCCCATATATTTCGCTTTGAATCGTTCCGTGCATAGATATTTAACACTGCCCCTCTGTTCGAGCGAAATTTCAGCCGAAATGATGCACTTACGCGCACAGAAATTCGGAATGTTCTGGTGGACTTTTAGAAGTGAACGAAATATCCGAAATATGGACTTGATCCTTGATTTTTCGCTCTGTAGGGCGGTGCAACGAAAAGAAATGGGTTCTTTGAGTTTTCAATATACAGGGTGCCCCAAAACTCACGTAGGAGCCGGAATTGGGAGGTCGCTGAGACGATTCTGAACAATAATTTCCTTTGCAAATATGACGGATGGTGCTTCGGTTTTGAATTATTAACGAAAAACCGTCGGCCAATCACAGCGCCCGGTTAGCTCGCGCTCAGCCGCGAGAGCATAAGCTCGAGCCAGGATTGGCTGGTCGCTGCGCAGCCAGCTGAGCGCGCGCTAATCGGGCCCTGTGATTGGTCGGTGTTTTTCGTTAATAATTCAAAAATGAAGCTTCCACCGACATTTTTGCAAAGAAAATTGTTGTCAAAATCGTCTCTGTTGCATACTTTTACTTCTGAAATTTTTTTAAAAGATACAAACAATCGGATTATCACTCGCCAAATTAATATTGAGTGATTCAAATGGATCGAATTTACGGAGTGCGTGCATTTCGACTCGGAATTGTCAGTAGACTCATCGGTAGGGCTGCATCTGACAATTCCTGCCCTAGACGCATTGTTTTTCTTGTTATATGAATTTCGATATCGTGGCGACTGGTTGAGTCTCGATATTACGACTCTTTTTCGACCAACGCACGTCGAAAACGATAAATGATTGGTTGAGTTCCGTGTTGAACTCTATTCGACCAATCACTCGTAATTCGATATATCAATTGGGTGAATCCAAAGATTATTCGGCATCATTCGACTTATTGAATGTGGAAAACGAAGATGATTGACGAAATCTCGATGCTCGACCTCAGTCAATCAACCTTAAGGTGAGGTCCCATGTATGTAATGTTCGTGCTCGGGCAATAAATTATCCGTACTTGCCGGATTTTCTTCGAAAACACGTTCCTACTAGCGTCCAAAAGGTCGGTAAATGCGACGACAAACGGTTTGGAACCACTTGAAAGGGTCGATTTTTACGAGCGTTTGGGTCTCGGCCCATAGTCTAGACCCGCGAGCACGGGGACTAATTCCATGAAAAAAATCGACCCTTTCGAGTGATTCGAAGCGAGACCCTCAATGCTTGTTTTCACCGAAACCGTAGGCGCCTACCTGGGTTCGCTCAAGGATCTGGGGTCAAACGGCCGATCGACTCATCAGTTTTCGATCAAATCGAATTCTTTATTCTTCATCGTATCAACGTGAACGCGATGCCATTGGATTCTTGGCGTTCTCCCGATTAAAATGATATCTCATGTCGCGTAAATCGAACTATTTTTAACGAAATAACTTTTCAATTATGCAATCAGATTTTGCATATAATTTCGTTAAAAATAGTCCGATTTACGCGACGTGAGATATCATTTTGATCGTAGAACCATCAGGAATTGATTGAAGTTACTTCCGCAAAGTTCCGATAAAAATTGTCGAGGTTGGTATTTTCAATTCTTTATGACATCTCCTTGTCGACCGACCGTTGCGATGATGGTCCGTGGCCTTTTTCGGGATTCCGTGCTCGTTTAGGTGTTCGCGGCTTGTTGTGGCAGCTCGCCTGGGTCCATCAGAACCTCCTGCGCGACGAGTTGAACCCAGACCTTACCATACGTTGACTGCTGTACATTCAGAATAAGCCGAATATCAAGGATTCTAACGACCAATTGATACGTGATTTTAATTCAGAACCGTGTCTGATATCGCGTCCGTTTACCTTAACACGAAAACTTTTTTATTAGAACCGTGTCTGTATAAGCTCGATCGTTTTCGGTCAAAGGTCTTTGAAAAACTGAAAACTGCCGCTCGATTCGATTATTTCGTTGACCCCGCTTGGGAAAAGAGGAGGAAATCGAGTGAATTGCATTCAAGTATACGAGGAACCCTATCAATGGGTCAAGGCAAATATTAATTCTGTCTTTGTCTGGTTAACCGTGTCAACGTCCAATCGATATATTGATTTTTCGGAACAACTGATTCGTCGCTATTTGGCTAACGACAGGTTCTCGAAAGATTAAGACGGTTGAGCGACTCTGTGTGAAACAGAACATCTCAGCTACCTCCCACTTCCAGCTCCTACGTGAGTTTTGGAACACCCTGTATAACGCGGGCCCTCTTCGTGATCTTATTTTTAAGAAAGAAGAAATATTTTAAAAGTTGAGATCAGGATTGGATACAAACATGTACAAGATTGAAGTAAATGTTCGACGAAGATAAAAATGAAACAGAAAGAATTACTAATGCAAAATTGAAAATCTGTCGGAGATTTCTTTATATGTAGTTCTTGGTACTTTTGTCTGATTCAGATGAAATTTTGTTTCGTTGTTCCTTACGTTAAAACGAAATGCATCCGCGACTTAATTTGGAGACTTAGCATGTATAAACATTATTAAGTAATATTAGTCGATAGAATTTAATCGATAGAATTTTTTTAAGGAGCATGTAGTTTATACATTTCATAATTTAGTTTACAAAAAAATTCTATAACTAACACAATTTTCAAAGAGATTTTATAAATAGTATACAAAGCCATCTTTTTTTACGTCTTTGCAGAAGATCATAATACTATAATAGAAGAAAAATCAGCAAATCAAGTTTTCAATATAAAGAAACAGCAACATAAAAACATCTCTTTGAACGACTCTGTAGAAGAGCATACTATTTTAGTATTTTAGTATAATACAAGAAAAGTCTAAATTAGATTCCAATAAAAATAAACAAAAGCACAAGAACATTTTTTTGCAGAAAAACATGACATCATATAGTATACTGAACATATCATTCTGATTTTAAGAACATGCAAACAGAAAAAATTCACACGTTAATAATTGATAATGCGTCAAATATCCGCGACGAATCTCAGGGGTAAGTGTGATTTTCGTTAATTAACCCGTGCAAACGAATTTGCGATGACGCGGCGCAATTTCGCTGTCCCCCGAATAAATGACTAATTTTCAAAGCGCGGTCGGTGACATTAGACCAGAAATAAAATTCGTCCCACTTCGCAATACGTTAGCTAATGAAACGTTACGGGCCATTTTCAATTAAATTCAATATCTGAAAATGTTTCCAACACTTAACGCGAGCGGGGTGGGTCGGCGTGACACGGGGCGGAGATATTTTCTCGCATACGCGAGCAGGATAATTGATATTACACCATACCCGTAACGTCATTCGACCCATTATACCAGAGGTTGGGCGGCCAGATTAATATTAACACCTTATTACCGGCCCACGGAATTAACATTACAATTTCCCGCGCCGTGGCGAACTTGAACTGTTATTTTTGCAAGGATAGTAATTTTATAACGCAACGTCACGCGGGTCCGGACGCGAAATTGTTATTACTTCTTAACGAGGTATCGCATTAACATCGTAGAACACCATCCGCCCCACTACTTTCTAACTAATAACCGTTGATTAACAATTTTTGGTCTCCAACAGGTATTTGGAGACTGTAATTGGTGGGGACACCGCGCGCAGTCTTTAATCCTTAACGAAACAGTGCCGTGGCGTGCAACGCCTCTTTAATTAGCAACAAGAATGTTCAACTTCTGTTAATTGAATTGTCTTGTATAAAGTGATACGAATCCGAACCTTAATGGAACCTATAATATTTCGAATGTTGGCGATATTGGAGAAAATTTTGTCCAGAGAAACTTGTTTGGTGTTGTTGGTAGTACTGATTAGGGTTGCGAGTAATTAATTACTTTTAAAATTAATTTCCGTCTTTAATTGACAATTAATTACAAACAATGTAATTAAAAATTATTTAATTAAAATTGAATTAAGCAGAATTAATCGAAAGTCGTTTAATTGACGATTACTTTAAGCAGAATTAATCCAAGCTATTTTTAATTGACGATTTGTTTATTAAATTTGTAAATTGAAAATGACGGTATACCGGTCAAGCCCCCTCCCCTCGCCTCCTCGATTCTCGAATACCGAGGGTCGCGATCAACGTGTTATCAGGTTGTCCCAAAAGTTTCTTTCGTTTTTATTAATAAGTAATACATACACAATATTTTATGTCTAATGTTACATTATTGAATTGCGTACGATTCATTTTGTTCCATTACTGTTACAACATTAGCATCTAAGAAATTACGATGTCTATTTATGTAAACAGTGCTACACAAAATAGCTGTGTGCAAGTCACGAAAGAAACTTTTGGGACAACCTCTAATATATTAAGTAAATAGAAGTGGCTGACGGTGGAAGTGCTTTATCGAGCGATTTTTCAATTATTCGAAACAGAGTCGACCAGCGACGTCACGGAAGGTGTTTACGCTGGGGAGCGCGCGCGGCTGGTTTACGGGGTGTTTACAACCCCCGTGAACTCGATCGGCGGCTCCGCTGTTTGCGCATTCTCCATGAACAGCGTTCTCGAAGTCTTCCAAGGTGCGTTCAAGGAACAGGAGACCATCAACAGCAATTGGTTGCGAGTACTTCCGGAGAGGGTGCCCGAACCGAGACCTGGGGCATGCGTCAACGATTCCAGGACGCTTCCAGACGTAACCGTCAACTTCGTGAAAGCCCACCCCCTCATGGACGACGCGGTTCAGTCCTTCTTCTCGTTACCTGTGATAACCAAAGTCAGCTTCAAGTGAGTGTTTGTTTCGAATGCATTGGTTTACCTTCGCAAATTCAAATATATGATTTTTTCAGGAAAAGTTTTTTATTAAGAGCACATTTTTCTTTACATGTGACTAATGAAGCTTTAGCTCCTTGTTTGTTTTCTTGAGTAGAATTCAAAAGCATACAAAAAAAAAATGTTTGTTCTTGGACGGTGATGTAGTTCACGTAGTTAAGGGTGCGCAGGAGTCCTTCTTTTTCAAACTACAAACTCCAAGTTCAGAATACCTTTTTTCTCGTTCAATCATTTTTCTTAGTAATTCCTGGGCCCATAACCTGATATAAATATTGGGTTTCCTTTAGCACAGAAGTCGGACGCTTAAATTAAATAAGGATAAGGTTCTTTTTAAAAATAAAAAAACAAGTTTCACCCTTCCCTTCGAAACTTTTATTTTGTTAGACCGTCTTAAGGGTGCGCAGGAGTCAAAACAGAACTCTGAATTGATTTCAGCGACAGTCGCGGAAAATGTAGGAAACTCCGGGACAAGGACAGAGAGGGCGGTACAACAATTGCAGGACAGACGAGGACAAGGGCGATTAGGCTAGCATGATTTTTTTCAAAAAAAATTGAAGCAAAGAAGTACTATTTTCTAATAATTCTGGTTTTAATATATTCGTTGCACTTTGGCGGATGGGACTCCAAGGCCTGATTTTCCAATTTCGGCCTTAAAACTTTATAAACAATGAAAGTACATTTTTTTTTCCTATGGAAGAAATTTGTTTACATATACTTTTTCCAACATCAGGCCTTGGAGTCGCATCCGCCGAAGTGTAACGAATATATTAAAACCAGAATTATTAGAAAATATTGCTTCTTTGCTTCAATATCTTCGAAAAAACCATGCTAGCCTAATCGCCCCTATCCTCGTCTGTCCTGCAATTGTTGTATCGCCCTCTCTTTTTCCGCGACTGTCGCTGAAGTCCATTCGGAGTTCTGTTCTGACTCCTGCGCACCCTTATCCTTCTACTTTCGTATAATAGAATAATAGTAGTTGTAATTTCTCCGTAATTAAAAGTGATCATACAATTATGAATATTTGAAGGGGAAGCTTATGGTTATGCCTTGTCTGTGTATGATTAGAAGCTCACTCCTTTTATCCATATGATTAATTAAACTTTACCTCCTTATTTATTGTTGTTTTTTAATTTAATCAGCACTCAAGAGCCTAGAAAAATAATTTTGTTTGTTCTTTGCTGGTGATACGATTCATGTAAATAGCCTTATTTCATTTGGGACTTAATACCAGCAAAATTATTCTTAATAATTTAAATGATATAGATAAAATAATAGTTTCTTCTTAAAAATCAAGATTATAATTTTTTTTAATAGAAGATTTGTTAATTCTTCTTACTGAAATATACTCACGTCTCTACGTAATTCATTTTTCATAAATAAAACTCAAGACTTCTACAAAAAAAAAAAAAAAAATATATATGTACAAGCCTGTAGAACAATGGAAAAGAGTGATGCAAATCAATCAAGAACTTTTCGTTAAATGAAATAATATATTTTCAAGAAGTTCTGAATACTCAAATGGTGTTTTAAAAAAACGCACGAACGTTTTCCAGTACCTAATACCTGTGTTTTCGAATCATTTTCATATCACATCATTTTGACAACATTGAAGATTAAAGCAAACAGTGCATACAGTTACAGATTTACCAAAGTCGCTGTAGATGCTCAGGTAAAGGCACTGAATGGCAAGGCCTACGACATCCTCTACATAGGGACAGGTGAGTACAAACGATCGTGGTCTCACGATCGAAAACACTGCCGCGTATTTAATTAACGTAATTATCTAATTCTGCCTAGACGACGGTCGTATTCTCAAAGCACTCAACACCAGGGCGCCGGAATCTCTGAGCAACGTTGGCCAGGTTATCGTCAGCGACGTTCAAGTATTGAAATACGGTGAGCAAAGCCAAAAATATCCTCACCTTCTTTCTCGTAAACAACACGGTCTTCATAAAATTCAATGGTTCGATCGCGAGCGTCTGATAACCGTCGATCCAATTACAATGCAAAGCAGGTGAATTTCAGACGGCGGCGGTCGATCCCGAATCTAAATTTCAATCCTCAAAAATCTAATTAATCCTTGTTGAATTATGCGCGATCGGATGATGCGCGATCCGACCTTCCCCGCCCACAGTGAGAGATAAAGGAAAAACTCGCGTAATTTTGTGTGTTGCCGTTTCCATCGTGTCGCGTTGACTTTAAACGAGGGTACAAAAAAAAGCATAGTAAAATAGCGTTTGCTCTTCGACTCGTTTGATGAACTGTCACGGACTTGCGAGCAAATATTCGATGATTCGTATGAGTTATTCCACCGCGCGTGTCGGCGACGAGTCGAGGCGAAAATTTACATTTGACGTGACGAAACAAGTAATTCCGACGAAACTAGATTCAAATTTAGAGGGTGCATTTCTATCCGGAATTTATGGAAATACTCGGTCGAAAGGAAAACAATTGGAACGATAAAATATAGACAGTTCTGTTAGCAAAAGACCGGCGGGTGTGTGGCGAAATAAGAGATAGATGATATAGTAAATATTATTTGTATTGAAATCGCGGTGGATTGCTGTGTGGATGAACGTGTATTTATTCATTGACGACACGGGTAAAATCAGAATCATTTTATCCTATCGAAACAAATGAAAATATAATATGATGAATATATTACAAACTAAAAATACTGAAAAATGATGCACTTTACAATTAAACGATTTGTTGAAGAATATGTGCTTGAAGATAACGCAGTTAGGTTGAAACCGTTAATAAGTAAATATACAATTTGATAGGGCACCATGCATTATGATTGTTAGAAATTTACAAACAAAAGAGTTGAATTGAAGTGATTATTAATATTATTGGTAATTGTAATCGTCACAGATTTCGTCATTTCGTCAGCTTCAAAATGGGAATTACAATTTATGAGAAGTGATTATTATTTAATTCTATTTGAATTAAGTTGTAAAGATCGATGTCCGACCGACTTTACGACCTCACAAGATCCCTTTCAGCGACTATAAAATCATTTTATGTTATCTGTAAACAGTTCGTCAAATATTTGGAATATCGTTTAGAGTAGCTAGTTCGTCCTAACAAAATCGTCATCAATTGCATAATAACAATATTGTAGAAGTCTATACAAAAAATAAGGCACGTGGATTCGAACCCACGATCCTCGGATCCACGGTCGACCGCTTTACCTACGCGACCAATCCCGTACCCTACGTTTCGTGTTCTTATTTGACTCCTCATTGTTGAGTATGGGAGCCGCGGACACTACGATATAATTAACAATAATAAAATATTTAATGTTTGTCGCAGGCCAAGCAATCAAGGATCTTGTAGTAGTCCATTTGGCCGGCGAGGCGAGCAAATTGGTCGTATTCGCAGACTCCGAAATTCGTGCCATTCCCCTTTACCACTGCGATGCGCCAGCAGCAACCACCTGCAAATCCTGCGTGGCTCTTCAGGATCCTCATTGTGCCTGGGACGCCACCAAGAACCTCTGCGTGGCCGTGTCGACGAAGCTCCACGATAGCGACGCAGACAAAACCTTGTTTCAGAACGTCACGAACGGGAGCCACAAGGGCTGCGGCTACGAGCCAGGTAATTATCATTAATGCAAACTCTTCTTATTAGAATACAGAATGATCAGAATTGGTTTCTTTCGAAACTATGTATGAAACGTTATACGACACACACTTGTCGCTCCCTTGAATTCTCTTCTTTCGCTCTCCAAACTCTGACATAATAATTCCTTGAAAACAAATACCGTATTACAAACACTCGGCATCGTGATTTGTTCGTTTCAAACTTTCCGGAGTGAATGATTAATTTTATAAATTGCGTTGAATAAGTGTTATAGCAAACGTCATATATGATCCAAACAAGCATAGTTTAGTTATTTAATTAGCGTTTTCGCAATGTGTTATGTCTGGCCACGCCAAGCATTAGACTTCCAGGCCACGAGCATCTAGGCAAATGTCTAAACAGTCTCAGTTTGTGGTTGATACACTATTTAGCTTCTTTATTTCACCGCCGAAGTGCGTAGCAGTCAGTTTACATGAGTTGTCATTAGGATCTGAACGTCCGCACTGTTGAACACAGCATTTTAGCTGCGCATAGTTGGAAAGCACCGAATTTTGCAGTGTGGTACACAGTGTCGCCTTTGCACATTACTGGAAAGGACCTTCATGTACTGGCTGCTCATTTCGATTTCACATATTTTTCAACTTCCTTGTAGTTTCTTATGGGGATCTTCTATTTTTCTATGATTACTCTTTAAGTCCTCCACTTTTTCATGTATTTGGCGTAATTCTTTTACTTTTTTGAAGTTTTTTATGGGGTTCTCACTTCTTTTTTCAAAGATAATTTGCATAGTGAATGAGATTGAATCATTTTTATATTATACACGGTCTGTCTAAAAAGAAACCGAACTTTTGCTATTAAAAGAAAAAAGTACAAGTAAAGTTTTTACACACACGTTTATTTACTCAAAATAATCTTTCTCTGCGTCAATATAGCGTGTAGATCGCGTAATTAACATTTCGAAGGACCTTCGCAGGTCTTGTTTTGGTAGCCCGTTTAGTACGGCGGTTACAGCAGCCTGAATCTCCGAAATGTTACTATAATGTGTCCCTTTCATTGGAATTTTCAATTTTGGGAAAAGAAAATAATCGCAGGGAGACAGATCAGGCGAGTAGGGTGAATGATCCAAGGTAACAATGCCAATTCCAATGAAAGGGACACATTATAGCAATATTTCGGAGATTCAGACCGCTGTAACCGCCGTACTAAACGGGCTACCAAGACAGGAGCTGCAAAGGTCCTTCGAAATGTTAATTACGCGGTCTACACACTGTATTGGCGCAGAGGGAGATTATTTTAAGTGAATAAACGTGCGTGTAAAAACTTTACTTGTACTTTTTTTTTTATAGCAAAACTTTGGTTTCTTTTTAGACAGACCGTGTATGTATTGTATAGTACTTTGTGTAGAGTTCCTGGTGCGCGAAGCAGCTTATAGCGCTGAACGTACTGAACATTCAACTGTAATAACAACCACAATTAACATCTTTCGAAGAAAAATATGTATGCATTTTTGGCATTTCGTGGCCAAACATGTTTTTCTACTCGTAAATCACAACAGCTACCCATGTTGTGCCCTTACCCCGTACCATACTCGTGTAATGACCATCGGAAATACTTTTACCGTGGTGGAAAATCGCTGCCTTAAACTTATAACAGTGACCTCCCATTTGTATTTTAGTAGTAGGTACTGCTTTGATGCAGAAATTTTCTACTTTCGTTGTCCCACTACTATTGTGATCGAACAGAAGTAATTTCGCAATAAGAATTTGTTTGGAAGCAGTTATATTAACTTTCTTCATTATGTTTTAATATGAACTATGACAATTATTGCAAGGACCTTTCAGATTTATCCATCCTGTGAAATTGTGTTTTATAATATCTTAAAATTAAATTATTTTCTCGATCTTGGGCAATACAAGGTGTACCACACAATTTGTAATTGATATAAATATTTGGTTTCTTTTGGCACAGAAGCCGGATGCTTAAATTAAATAAGGACGAGGTTCTTTTTAGAAATAAAAAAACAAGTTTCACCCTTCCTTTCGAAACTTTTATTTTGTTAGACCGTCTTAAATCTCTCCCTCTGACCGAGAGTCGAGAAAACGACTTCATTTTTTGCATGCAAGGTTGCCAACTGACTAAATTCAAGCATGGGGTTAAATAGGTTTCTCTCAATTTTAACAGTACTGATATTACAATATATAGAAAAAGAAATCAGTTTCAGTCCTTTAAGTTTTCAAAAGTACGCAGAATGCATGCCAGGAAGTCTTGTTGCAAGAAATTTAAATAATGAGAAAATGAGAAAATGAACAGAGATCCACTATTTCTAACGCATAATTTATTGCATTACAATAATATACAAAAAAAAGAGATAGTTTTAGTCCTTTAAGTTCAGAATAAAGTTCATAAGTACGCAGAACGCGTGGCAGAATGTCTTGTTGCAACAAATTTAAGTGTCAAAGATGGAGTGAAAAAATGAACAACGAGGTCCACTATTTGTAACGTACAATTATTGGGCTGATCTTTACTCTGCTCTACTTTACTTTGCTCTACTTTACTTTCAAGGAACTCCAACATTTTTAGGACACCCTGTATATAGAAAATACAGTATGCAATAATATGCCAACGTATTGAAAATCAAATTCATAAATAAATAATTGTATTACTAATGTATTAAAAATAAATTCCTATTTAGCTCTACTTTTTGTAGGTACGTTTGCAAACATTTTATTCTGCATAATGATCTGCAGTCTAGTAAGTAAGTAAATGAAAGTATTTTCAATTCGTTTCTTTGAAATATTACAGTTTAAGAAATTTTCAAAGTGGTTCGTTTCAGGCTTTAATCCTAAATCTACGACCATTGAGTTGTTGTAATACATGCGTGATGGAAATATATTTATTTGTTAGACGCAGTGTGTCGTCACGATGTATGAGTAATAGCATGGCTCATGTAAGAGAGTTTCGCGTGCGTTCTTGCTTGAATGGTAATAAAATCTCTGTGTATCTGGTATTATTATGTAAATCATTCGATTACCAAGCCACGATAACTATAAGTGCAAATCTGGAGGGGTTGATGGGACTCATTAAAAGAGAGGAAAGTGTGCTAACATGCCTAGGAAAAGTTTCAGAGATATTCAGCATATTTTCTCAGCTAATAGGTATTTTGTATCACACTAAACAATGTAGAGCATAGGTTCCCAACCTTTCTTAACCCACCGTCCCCTTTTTTAACCGACTTCGAAAAGGAGGGGGTTACTCAATTCGACATGTATATTTTGTTTTTCAAACAGTGATTATTAAAAAAATGAATATAATATCATTAGTGAGAAGGCTGATCTTGGTGTAACGACAATAATTTTTCGATATTTGGTATCAGATTTGACATCAGCAATCTTAAATCGCCGCGTTCCACTATTGACAATCTGTTTCTTTTCTTTGTTGCTAAATTGTTGATTACACTGACATTTACAACATTTGTTGAACATTGAAGATATTTGTTAAAACATGCGTTCGAAGATTTTTAGTACACATTAATCAAATTTTTGGCGCGTTCTTGCGAGTATTGCCCAGGGGGCGGCAGTTGGTCCTCGACGCCCCCAAAATTTGTCTTCGACCAAAAGCGCCCCCTTAAATCTCTTCAACGCACACCGGTGGGCGGTACCGACGCCGCTGGGAACCTCTGATGTAGAGTATAAAAAATATTTGCCGCAGAAAATACTCAAAAAAATGATTCGAATGTATACTTCTACATGTGACTTTTATAAAAGTTAAAAATATTTGAAACTGTCACACTAAAAAGATTAGAGGTACACTCTAAAGAAGTTAAATTTGTACTAAAAAATTGAAGTGTCGTTCGTTTTAATTCATTTTTCACAAACAGTTACGAAATGATTCATAGAGTCAATTTTTTTATTTGGCACGGTTATATTAGAAGAAAATATAGTTTTAAAAGTCCAGTAGATTCTGCATTTAGACAAGAAGATTTTGTTTATTCATGACGTTTTTCCATAAACTGCACTTCTATCATTATATGAGCCATTTACTGCATAAATTGATTAACTCCACCAGTCGCATAAAAATTATAACATTACTGATGATTATTTTTTTGGCTATTATTTCTTATTAATTTTAGATATCGTTACATGAAAGCTACATCTGTATTTATGCATTCTACAATATTTATTTGAATTTATATTATAAAGGGAACTTTAAGAAACAATGTTCGTTATTTCATCCCATTTCTCAACATTTGTTTTATGGAGTTAGTCGATTTGTGCAATGAACGATTCATATGATGCTCGTAATGTAATGAATCCCTTCGGTTTAAGCGTTTCTTTCAAGATTGTCATAATCATCAAGAGTTCTTACATTCAGAGTGATAACATGGACATTAATGTTACTGTAATTATGCCTTAATAATAATAGTTATAACCAAAATAACTAAGAATATATTATTTCGCTTTATATCATTCATTGTATACATTTTTTATTTTGAAAATCATTAGTGCACGAATTGGGAAAAATAAAGTCGAAGAAAGTTATTTTTACGTGGATAAATTTAATACACTTTTACCTTGACTGTTCACTAGAAGTGATTTGACTACTTTTGGTTAGAAGTTTGTTGAGCTGAAGTACTACAATTACTTCATTGGAACCAAAGGATTTAATGAAATGATAAGTCTATTCAGAACTCTCCACAAATTTTCTCATGTTTCCTACTGTTTGTGAATAATGGAAATGAAGACGAAAACTAGATTATTTTTTTAACTTTGATTGTCAGCCAGGCCAGACCAGACCGGACCCCAATTTAACGTTAGCTGACCACGTACGGGTGCAGGCCCTCGTTCCACTTCTGAATGCCTACTCCGTCCGGCGCACTTACTACTCTTTCAAATCTGCTCCGATTTGACAACGAAAACGTGATTCAAAAAATCCGATTTTTTGGGGATCTGTTAATGAAGCATTCGCGAGTCCGAATCCACGAACGGCGTTGACGTGGGGTTACTCATTCACCCTGC